TCGGGTATCCTCACACAACTCATTCTAACAAATGACTTGGTGACAAGTCTGGTGCTCTGTGCACTTTGAACTCTGTTTCAGCAAAGCATTAAGTGAAACTCGCTGCTGAACACTAACCATAAGCCTGAATGCATTTTAAAACGTGCTTGCTGTGTTTTCTTCATAGGTGAAAACCCATCTGCAGGCTCAGACTGTGGCAGCCATTGCAGTAGGTCACCAGCATAACCACCTGGTAAGACGGACACATTTCACATAAAACACAAGAATAGCTTACCAGCTGTTTCAATGTTTAAAGATGTCAGTACAGGTGTATTAAAGTACAATAACTGGCCAGGATGGTGTAAACTATGTGCTATAGTATAATAATTGTGCTTTTTTTTTTTTATCAGGTGTTCATTTGGTAATTAAAATTTGAAGCCCATAACACTCCCATTAATATGACATACCAAGATAGAAAGCTGATAATGAAAACGTTATTTGTTGGCACCTGAGGAGAAAATGGTCATTATAAACACTGCGTATCAATAACATTATGTACCTGTGTTTTCAACAAAAAATGGATACAACTTGTATTTGACGTGTATTTAATATTTTTCTCTAAAATGCAGTGTGGTGAGAGTATAAAACTAAAAGTAGAAGTTAAATTATAGAGAAGCACAGTAAAACTGCAGACGCATGGTGTTTAAACAGTACGTGTCTGCCCTTTAACCATCAGATCATATAATCTGCCCGGCCAAAAGAAAAAGGCTCCACCTATATTTACTTAAGCAAACCAATAAGAGCCTTCCACTGGATATTTACTGCAATAATTAATATGGCTTAGTTGGATACAGGTTATTTAAACCTAACTGATGTAGTGAGCCGCTTCTCATTTCTCAAACAACCATATCAGAAGACGCATCATGTGGTTGTGGAAAAGATGGGTTAAATTATTTGCCTTCATCAAGCAAAGACAACTAAGGCGATTACTGAAACTACCAAAACCTGGATAAAAGCTGTCCGAAATGCCAGAGCTAGCAAATTAAAACTAAAATATGCTAATTGATATTAATTTTTTTATTATTATTCAGAAGGTTCATTAAACACTCAATTTTCGAAAAAGAAAAAAACAAACCATGCAATTTCAAGCAATTATTTCCTGGTTCAGGCTGTAAAGGGGTTGAAAGGACCTGGGAGGATAGTGATGAATCATCAAAAAAGGAAGAAATGTGGTTGGAAAAAAGTGATCGTGATTGGAGATCCTTTAAACATCTGGTAAAATCAGATCATAAAAAAAAGTCATCAGCACAAGTCATGGATATGTCTAACACTGAAAGTACATTTGCAAACACACATGATGTGAAGCAAACTCGGTGGACTAAAAACAAATCGCTGAATCTTTTTAAGGCTTATCAGAATCAGAAAGGGTTTTATTGCCAAATGTTGAGCCGGTTTACAACATTAGGAAATTGCTGCGGTATTTTGTGCAAACATACTGTCAGACAACGCTTAAATAAACATAAAAATTTAAATTAAAAGTGCTAAGAGTGCTCTCAGGGGAAAAAAGGCAGGAACAATAGAAACCGATCGTGTGGTCTAAAGAGTCCAGATTTATCCTCTTCCCCAGTGATGTCTCCATCAACGTAAGAAGAGAGGCAGATGAAGTGATGCACCCATCATGCCTGCTCAGGGCCTGCTGCAAGAACCTGCAGGGGCAGTGTTATAATCTGCAGATGCTTCAGCTGGTCAGGTCTACACCAGTGATATGTGCCCAAAGAATGAGGTCACCTGAATATACTGAATGGCCAGGTTCAGCCATCAGTGGCATGTCCTGTATTCTAAGTTGGCAATGCCAGGATTGATCAGGCTCCAACTGAAAAGCGTATCAAAAACAGTGCCAAAATGAATGCATTATCAAAGGTTAATAAATACAGCTCCATACATACATGTGTATGTTCAGATGTGCAGCTAATTCCTCCTGAAATCAGCTGCAGAATTAACAAAAACAGAAGGAGATGGTCTGACTTAATGTATTCAAGGCAAATTTAAATGGGTTGCATGAAGTTACTTCAGGCTGCCTGAATGTTTTGCCTGAATATTATTACCTTTATTTCTGGCTTTAGACAAATACTTTTACTAAGGTATTCGTTTTCACAAATTCTTATTCACAAATTTTAGTAAAAGTGTCATGTTTTGGCTGTGTGCAGGCAGGAGAAGGACCCAAACGCAAAACTTACCACACAGGAATTAAACTCAAAAAGCTGCTTTACTGCAGAATGGCACAAAAACTATAACGACCCTAAACTGGGACATGGCTACCTAACACACAGCCATGAGGGAGACTACGCCACTGACAAAGAGAAACACAGGGCTTAAATACACTGAGGGATAACGAGGGAATGAGACACAGAAGGAGAGCACAGCTGGGAGTAATCAGGCTGGACGAGACAAGGGAAGCAAAACTAGAAACACTGACATGAGACACAGACCTTCAAAGTAAAACAGGAAACACACTGACTGAACTCCAGACATGTAAACTTAACAGGGACTGGGGAGACAGAACATTGGAACCTGAAACATGGGACAGAAAGGCACAGTAGACATCATGGAACACAGTGAAGCCATATTACTAAACTTAAGAACTAAACTTATGATAACCATAACTGAAACCTAGGGAAATAACAAAGACAGTACAACAAAGGACTCAAAACATAAACCATAATAGAAAAAACACAAGAACTCAAAAAGCTGGGTCAGAAAGACCCAGAACCGTGACAAAAAGAGATTTTAAATAAAGAATAAACTTACAGAATAATTATGTCTTTTTTTCCTGTAAAAACCTGACTTGTTACCCTCTTATTCTAGTGTACCTACCTTTGAATATTTGTAGGTAAATGCAATTAAATGCAATTTAAATCCCATTTAATTACACCCTTAGTTGCAAGCCGTGTTATAAAGTGTTACCTGGTTTTGAGTGTTATTATCTGTAGCCTCTACTCACCAGTGCCTTTGTTTTCCTCTATTTCAGGGAGTGTCTGATGCCTTTGTTACCATCTATCGAAAAGAAGGTTTAATTGGTCTTTGGAGGGGTGTGAATGGGGCTGTGCCTAGAGTCATGGTGGGATCAGCTGCCCAGCTGGCAACCTTCACCTCAGCTAAGGAATGGGTGTCACATTCTCAGGTAATGTTATCTAAAGAGCCGAAGGTTTTATGTCATATGTGACCAAGCTGCTGCCATGCGTTGAAAGTCGGATCATCTTTCTTTGTGTCCTTTCAGTGGTTCAGTCCAAACAGCTGGCTCGCAGTCTTGATGGCAGCTGCAGTCAGTGGAGTTGCTGTGGCCATTACCATGACACCATTTGATGTCATTAGTACTCGGCTCTACAACCAGCCGGTGGATGAGTTGCGTAAGGTGAGTCTGTCTTCAACACAGTTGTCCTCATTTTCATTAGTTTCACAATCTAAAAAAAAAAGCATACCGTCATTAAAAAAAGCAATATGAAATCATTTCATCTATATTATATATTTGTATTGACCTTTATCATCTAATTTATATATTTTTATAGATATATTATTTCATCTTTTTCTCATATTAGGTATGTATTTAAGGAGAAACTGCCTTTGAATCTTATTGTGTTGTGTAGAGTGACTATAAAGGAACTCAGCTTATTTCAGTTCACGAAAGACTTGCTGTGTTTTTTACATCTGTTTTGTAGGGGCGTCTGTATCATGGATTTTCAGACTGCATGCTGAAGGTGTGCAGAGCGGAGGGCCTGCTGGGTTTGTATAAAGGCATGGGCCCCGTGTTCCTGCGACTGGCCCCGCACACGGTGCTAAGCATGCTGTTCTGGGATCTGATGAGGCAACAAGCAGTGAAGGATAAGTAGAGCTGAAGCACCCATACTTGCACACTGAAAGCACAACTGGGCTCTGCTACAGCTGTTAGAGTGCTCTCTCAGTTAATGAAGCACTGAATTTAAAGCAACTGTGTGACATTTTGGGAAGTAAACTTATTTACTTTTCTTTCCGAGAGTGAAATGAGATGGTTCATGGACGTTTTTATGGTTAATATGGAGCTAGCATCTGGTTAACTTATCTTAGCATAAAAACAGCTAGTTTAGCTCTGGGCAAAGTTAATAAAATAGTTAATGGTAACTCCTTAGAAGCATAATAATTGCATATAAAATAACAAACTGTTGTTTCAACACTTTTTATTAAACACACAGACCTAATATAAAATGCTGGTAAACTTTAGAGGTACTGATAGCTGCTGGTAGCTCTGACAAGCTAGCTGTTGCCTTTCATTTTTAGTCTTTATGCTAAGCTAAGCACATGCCTGCTGGCTGTGGCTTTATATTTAACCAACGGACACTGGGTGCCATATCAAACATCTCATCTTACTCTTTTCCAGAAAGAAACATGAGCAAAATGTCAAACTATTGCTTTAAGTACAAGCTTTTCTCTCCCATCTAGCACAGAAAATGAACACTTGAAGCACTTAATCAAGACTGGCATGTTATGCACATACTGGAAGACATCTTTCTCTAAAAATATGTCTCGAGTGTATACATTTTTTGATTAGGGTTTTTTTTTTATACCTCAAGCTTAAGTCTCGCAGGAATTTGCTTGTTAACTCATCAGTGTGTGAGTGTGGTCAACTTGAAGAACAAGTCATCATCATTAAAGCAAAAAATTGTTTGCCATGTTTATTACACTGTCTAGATGCCTTGTCTGTTGTATTAAAAAAAAACAACCTGATGGGACTTTCTTTTTTAAAATTCACTGACTTGAACTTATGTAACTAAAGCCAAGAATGACATTTGTAATTTCAATTTTTTATGTGCAGAAATTTAACCTACTGGTACTTAAAACTTTAAAAGCAATGAACAGTCCTAATAAAGATTTTTTGTAAGAAACCTGTCTGGTTTGTTTTTGTTCTCTGGATAGGTGGTGAATCTTTTGAATACACTGCTTTAAAATCATTGTAATCTGTGGTGTTTTCTGTTTCTTTGAAATGATTTAATTGACTGGGGTTAAAGGTTTCTTCTTGAGAGGATTTGAAACCCCTTTCATCAAGAATTGATTTGACTAAAAGCTGTAGCCATATCACGTTTCACCTTTGTACCTTTGGGTGGATGGAGCTTACTAAAACCTGATCAGCTCGAAGAAATAAGGGCAAAGTCATTCATTTGTAGCACCACTTTGAGTGTTATTGCTGAAACGTTACAAGAACATCATAAAGATGTTTCTCCCCTTGATCCTGGGAACCACTGGATGGACACCTTTTGATTCAAAACCATTTGACTGCTTTCTTCAAGGTCTGACAACATGTTTTCTCTGATTATGGTTAAATTCTCAGCACTTTTCAATGTCATGTCTCCTCTTTACTGGCTTATTTTTGGTTGTGTTTTTTTTAAAGGGCTCGTAGGTGCATGTGGAATATCAGTGCTGTACAACCTGCTGAGAGTCTACAATTTTGTTCAAAATTCCAAGTGAGTTCACCCTTTGAGAGGAAAAAGGGAAAGCATAGCTTGATTTTCAAGAGCATTGAAGTTATTCTATTTTGTCTGCACACAGTGATTCTGACTCTGGAAATGGAAGCAAACCCAGGTCATCCTCACTGGGCACGTCTCTGAGAGGGAACTGGAGATCAGCCCTCCAGTTCTGGATTCTGACTGTCCTCCTCTCTCTGATGGGCTCGAGGGTTTTCTCCCTGATAGTGCTGGAGTTTTCCCTCAGGGCTGTTTCTACCTGGGCGTCAGCTGGACTGGTGAGCTCCTCAACAAATACTGCAGCTATATTTATGCATTGTTTTATGCTTTTATGTATCTGCTTTAGAGTGTTCTTTCATTACACATTTCTAATCCACGTCTCTTAATGCAGGATGCCAGTGGCAGAGGTCTAGACATGATCCTAATCCAGAGCCAGTTCTCCCTGGGTTGTAGCCTCACCGGCACTCTGATCTTCCTCCAACAGAGGGCTCCACACAGCTCCCTCAGCTTATTTCTGGCAGCTGCTCTCAGCTGGAAACTGGCAAGCTTGAGCCACAGTCTGTGGATCCATGTGGCCAGACTCTACCCGCTGCACAGCACTAAACAGTACTGTGGGAAGTGCATCACTCTTCTAACCTCCGGACACACCATACTGGCTTCACTGCAAAGAGCGGTTGTCTTGGCTTTTGCTGTAGCAAGTGTTGCTTCCACCGCTACAGTTTATGACCACTTCCTGTCCCAGAAGGATGCTATGAAGTTCTGGACTCTGCTGACGCTCTGTTACATTATGTTGCTCGTGTATATTCAAGGTGATGGTCAGTGCTGCTGAGAGTGGAACTTAATTAATCCTCAGAGAGGAAAGTACCCACGGAGTGTTAAGTAATAATAAAAATATTTAAATAGATTTAAATAATATTATATGGATTTAAGAAATAAAAGTAGACCATAAGTGATGAAATGAAGCCCTATAAATGTAAAAAGCAACATATATGAATTAAAAACTTAGAATTGATGGCAAAAACACAGCCTATAAAATCAGTAAGCACAAAGCCAAGGCTTTTTGGGATCATTGTGTAACTTTTCTGTCTGTACTTACAGAGGATGAGCATCGGCAGACAGGCACAGCGGCCCTCCTGCACTCTGTAGTTATGCGGCTGGGAGCCTTGCTCGTCCTCATGCTTGCAATGGGATACTGGTCTGATGTGTTTCAAATCCTCATCGCGTTTCTGGGAGAAGCAGTCTGTCTATTGCCTTCTTGGGATCTTCTGCAGGCTTTGCTGAAGGTCTGGTCTTTGCCTCGTTATGTTTTAGTTGCTGTAGTTGTGAAAATAACACGACAGGAGGTTGAATTCTCATGTTTCCTTTTCAGGAAGAAAAAGAGGAATCAAGCTTGAGCAGACGTGACGAGTGCTCCAGTCACAAAGGAACCACAATTAAAACATCATCACGTGGCAGATAACGGTGCACTCAAACTCCACCACAATGATTATCATTGACTGTCTCACCTGTAAAGATGCACTATTACTTTGTGTTGTAAAATAATATTGTGCTTAAAGGCTTTAATTGACTTCTTGTTGTTTGGGGTCTTATATTAAACAGAAATAATATAAAAAAATAAGCTGATTTAGTATTTAATGTCCAGCCATTTATTTTTTTTCGCTAATCCAAGTCAGGCTTGTGTGGGAGCTGGAGTCTGCTTTTATGGGGAGAGAGGCGGACAGCTTGCCAGTCTATCACAAAGATAACACAGAGAGACCTACTTGCTTGCCTTTGGACTGTGGGAAGAATCCAGAGAGAACCAACACAGGCACAGAACATGTAAGCTCCACATAAAGAGAGACAACAGTGGTAACCACTGTGCCGCCCATAATGTGTTTTAAATGATGGGAGCCAGGTGTGTTCAGAGACTGAAACAATAAAAGTGCTCGCTACTATAACAGAGAAGCTTTTGGCACTTATCTGATCACACGACTTTGGAGAACTGTAGAAGTACTGATTAGTTACAGCTCATTTATTATAATTCAATAGTGTTTCAGTGAAGTTTACTGTGATTTTCTTTCATAAAATATTCAGTTATTTACATTTTATTGTTATATGAACTGAAGAGAAACTGGTGATGTGTTCATTAAAGGATGGCTGTAATCAGGGCATTAACCCAGTGAGGCTAACTAGTTTAAATACTATTCAGTGTGTGCTAGTTAGAACAAATGTGCTAGTTTTGTTCCCTGATTACCAAGACTTTGAAGTACAATTGAAAAAAATATATATACATGCAAAACTATTGAGTCACATCTTGTTTCTTTAGATTTTGTTAGGACAATGGAAAATGGGTGCAGCAATTTATTGAAATGTGCAAACAAACATGGAAATACAGTGCTGCTCAATGTAGTTTTTAGACCTGACACTTGACCAGTTTCCTTAGATGTTTCAAGTATACACCACACACAGTGTAGAGATATTCTGAGAGCTCAGCTAATAGCGCTTGAAAATCACCTTATTGGTTGAAATAAAAACAAAGAAACAAACAAAAAAATACTATTTTATGTCTGTCAAACAAGTGCTTGAAGATTTTGTTTTTGCTAAGTTATCTGTTATGTGTAAACACAACACTGCTTTTCAGTATTTGAATGAGTAATAGGTTCAGTGGTTTAAAGATTTTAAAAAATCCTGTGAAGATGGTCAGGTACAAAGATTGGGCTGAAAATGAGTGAAAAAGCAGCCAATGTCCAAAGAAAAGCTTTAAAATACTTTCAGAAATCCTGGCGAGACATTGCTCAAGACCACTAAAAATAAAACTCTAGTTCCTTGGAAGCAAAATATGAACCAAGACTTTTGCTGAGTCTCGGGCCAACGTATTGATTCCATAGGGTTAGGATCACTGTCAGTTATGACTTAGGCCTCAGAAAGTTAAACGAGCACTCCAAACACAAACATCAGATCAGAGTTCTGTTAATCTGGAGTGACTTTTAAAAATCTGGAAACAAAACAATCCTACATTGCAAACTAGAATTGTCGAAGGAGAGAAAGAGAGAGAGAAGAAAAAGACACATAGGAGGTGGTGATAGGAAACTATATCCAACTGGGTTAATGTGAATACTGTAGGAATCAGCTGTTTTGAAGCTTTATCTTTCAGGACTAACAGCCCGATTATGCTGCCGTCTCCTGCTTCGTTTTTTGTCTCTCCCATAACATCATTTAGATTTAATGAAAGTAATCGTTACTGAGTAAAAGCTTGACTTTTCTGCCTTAGCACTTACAAAGTCAGTGTGCGTGTAAAGTGTATTTGTGAGCATGCAATTGTTTTTTCCCATCTGTATGTTTCTTCCTGTTCCTTTGACTTCCTTTCATTCTTTTCAGCTTTTGTTGCTGTTCTGCAAAATCCACCCCTCTGAAATCACATAAACATAAAAATGACACTGTGGTGTTGGTGATTAAATTGAAAAGTCAAGCTGCTGAAAGCAACGAGGAGGTTCAGAGGGTCTAATGAGGATTTGGGCTGTTGGAAGGCGGAGCGTGGAGGTCTGGGGATTGTGTCATCAGTAGGCATGCTCCCTCCTGCAGCCGTGACATCACTGCAGCATTCCTTTCCACAGAGCTGGAACAACAGAGACCCCCATCACTTTCCGCATCGCCATCTCCTGTTAACCCTCTCTGTGCATTCCTCCCTCTCCCTCTCTTCTTCCAGGCTGACCCATATCAATCAGGAAAGTTTTATTCAGCGCTCGGTCTCTTGCTCCATCTTCCTGTTTGACTTTTAGGAGGGACAAGACACGCTTTGGCTCAAGAGAGTAATCATAATATTTGCTGATCAGCACATCTGATATTACTGAGACTGACTGTGATGGGGAACAGCAAACACAACAAAGCACTTCTTCATAGCTCCCATAGACATCACTCTGTACTCCCCCCTGCCCCCCTTCTCCTAATATACCAACATCTCCTCTTGCACAATGCCCTGATTCACTGCACCGTAATGCCGCTGGTCCTGGAAAGCTGAGCACAAAAGCTCCCGATGAAGTCCAGCACCTATTATCGGACAGTGTTTTCTGCTCTGTGTCCCAAATGGAAGCAGTGCCATGAGACACTGATAGAGAGTCAGGGCTTAAGTGATATAATGTTGTGGGGGAAGGGACGAAGGAAAGAGGGAAAAGAAAAAAGGGAGGCAGACTCAACCAGGGAGGTAGGGAAAATAAAGCTGACAGAACAATGAGGGAGAACTGCACAGGGGAGAAAAAGAGGGCAGTTTGAGATAGAAATTTGCTGGAAAAGGCAGGTACAGTCACATCCTGCTGGCATGCAGAGAGATAAAGAACTGGGAGTTTGCTTGTGTGTGTGTAGGTGTGTGTGTGTCTCTGCCTGCCTGCTTGCTTCTGGGTAAAAACCTTACGAGGAACTTTATGGCACTGTGTATTGCATTTGTTAAAAAAAAAGAAAGAAAAAAAGGCTGTGTGATTTTGGTATGAGTGCACACATGTTGCATAACTCAGTGTGGGTGTGTGTCTACGTTCATGCACTCTTGTCTGTGTGTGTGTGTGTGTGTGTGTGTGCAGCCTTCCAAGTTTTCATAGTAGATGAATGTGTCATGTCTTTTACTGCACTTTGTCCGAGATTAACTGTTCACCTTTTACGGTCGGGAGGGAGGCGGTGTTGTCATTCAGCCAGAGAAGGAGGAGGAGGGGTCGACTGACGGAGGGAGGTACAGAAGGAAAAGGAGTGGCCTTCTGCAGATAGCAGCCCCTCTCTACCGGAGTAAAGTCTTCTCTCTGAGGCAGCTCATAGGAGAGAAAATAAACCAGAGATTTGGAAGATACAGAACGGGAAAGAAGAAAGAAGCAAAGAGAAAGCCCATTTTCTTCCAGGTATGTGACACAGCCGGTGTGAGTGGTTTTACAGCATACAGATAATTCACATTTGTGCTTTTTGACTCTAGTACCATTCATTATGGTTAATGAGAGCTGTAAGCGGGTGAATACAGCTGTGCAACTATACCTAGATTAAATTAGATCAACATGATAGGAAATAAATGTCTGTTTTGTCTTCAGTATGAGTTCTTGTAGTTTATTGTTGCTTGATATTATAAACTGAGCCTGTGGTTTATGCTGTGTTTCTCTCTGTCGCAAGCAGTCATGAGTTTATTCTTCTGTCTTCCTTTCAGGCTGCGTGAGACTTTTGTACATTCATGGCATCAGCAGCTCCACCAAAAAGGGTGGTTTCTTCTGTCTTCATCACTCTGGCTTCTCCTCACCGAGCCACCGTGACCCCACAGCAGCAGCCCGCCCTTCAAGCCCACAGTGCCCCGGCTAGAGAGAAACTGCATCCTGCTGTAAGAGTCAGCCCAGGTGACAGCATACCTGCCCTCAGGCACAGCAGAGAGGACAAGTCACCGCCGTCAGAATCTAATGGCGGCCTAAAGATCAAAGGCTTGACTAATGCGGGGTCCTCGGCCCTGGTTTCAGGCCCACAGAGCCACAATCCCCCCAAACATGAACCAGGCAAAACACAGCTTCAAGAAAAAAATGATCAGAGGAGTTCAACAGGTATTTATTATATACTTGATTTTTTTCTCTTAGTTAAAAAGACTATCTATAAAATATTAGAAAATGGCCCTGCAAGGCCCTTTATTGGGTCCTCCCCAGATCAGAATGATAATTTATGTATTTCCTGACCTGCATTTCAAAATATCTGATCCCAAAATGTAAAATATTGATTTTATACATCTAAAAGACTTTTAAAAGAGCCAAAAAAATTTCCAGCCCGTTTCCCAGACAGGGATTGAGCCTTGTCCTAGACTTAAACAAAAAAAATCAATGAGAATCAGAAAAGTTTCTAGGCTTAATTCATGTCTGGGAAACTGAGTCCATGTGCTTTGGCAAGGTTTTCGGTCACTATGAGCCCCCAGAACAGCTGCAGCTCTCCTTGGCATTGATCCTCCAAGTCTTTGACTTCTACTGAAGGAATCAACAGATTCTCCTAAAAGATGTTCCCTATTTGTATCTATTTCTTTTTTTATGATGGTGATTCTCATGGAGATATGAAATTGGGATGACATAAGGTGAACGTGTAGGCCATAAACCATGATTCATCAAACCGTGTTTTACATCCTCCTGCCCCGTGGATAAGGACAGTTTTTTCCTGGAAGAGACAACTCCCATCAGGACACAAATATTTTATCGTTAGACAAGAGTTACTAAAGCAAGAGTGTCAAACTGACATCAGGTGCTGGAAATATACACTATACAGAGACACTTGAACTTGAGGTAAAATGTATGTCCTACATATCTTCTCTCAAACATGTAACACCTGAACCAGTGAACAAAAAGTCACTGTGCAGAATGCTGTATCAACCAGGAGGGCCAAAGTGCATGGGGAATTTAAAGTGATGAGTGATCCAGAATAAAATCAGTGAAGGGCCATGGGGGTCTCGATTTTAAAACATGTACTCTGAAAGGATAAGTAGACCAAAACTATGTCAGCACAGCGCATCAGTACATGTGATTAAACATTCAGTTTTTTCATCTAATTTGTCATTAGTCTGTTTTTTTTTTTAAATCAGCTGTCTATGCTGCTACAAAATCATCTAAAACTGTGTTCTCATGCCAAACAGAGCTTTTCCCTCCTCCTCCCCCTCCCTCTGATGCACTGCCTCTATGTCCGGGAGAGTTGCCCTCTGAAGAATCAGCACTTCCACCACCTCCTCCAGCCCAAGAGTCTTTCCCCCACCCCGTGACCCCAGGCCAGCAGCCAGTTTACAACCCAGAGGTATGCAGACTTATCTTACAGTGTCACTATAACAAATGACATTTAAAATCTTCCAGTTTGCAGCTTCGAAAACGTGGTGCCAAATTTCCTTTAAAAAAAAAATGCCTTCAATTATTTTAAACACACGAGTAATTATTTTGTCTGCAATGAAGGATTAGCTTTCCACAGCTTTTCCACAAGCCTTTCACAGTGGCTGTAAAGCGCCATCACCAAAACATAAAGAACAGGGCTCTTATACGACCATCTTACTAAAAGTGTGCACACTTGCTTTCACAAAATCACCAACTTCCAAACTGCTCCTGTAAATAAACAAAAACTTTATTGCTCCATGTCTGTGTAGACAAAGATCAGTTGGGGGGTGGGGGGTGGGGGGGTGGACTGGTAAATTACTTTCTTCCTCTCTGGTTTCTGAGAATTTTACTGACCGAATAAAAGCTGAAAGGTTTCCCTTTAAAAACGCTTAAACTCAACAACTCATCTTTGAATCACCAGCAGGTCTTTACACGAAAGAAGGTAAAGTCTTTATGTGACTGGTGAAAAGGGTTAGAAATAATCTGTTAAACTCAGTAGAATTGAAATGTTTGAAGTATTAAAAAAATAGTATTCACCACCCATTTTAAACCAAACCTTCAAACCACAGTGAAATTAAAATGTTTGTGTGGCTTGGTCCTGATG